CTGGGGGGTTATGGGCGCACTGACCCGCTACTTAATAAGCCCTTTTATCCCAATGGTCTAGTGGTTGGGATTCTGACAAAGATAACGTCACGTGCTGCTACTATTTCCTTTGTGTGGACGTCGAAGATCCGCCAGGCTTCGTAATGTTTTGCCAACCCGAGGTGTAGACCCCACTGTGCGCGTTGCGAAAATCTTCCTGCGCGTGCAGTGTGTGGGTGGTACTGTACCATGCACCCAAAAACTCTTAACATTTTTGTGTTGCCCAGCTTCCCAGTCCACAACAGGTGCGGTGATGCGTTGTTGGGCAGTGACGACGAGGACAGCAAGTTGTGCAGGAGGACAGCGTGGTCCATCGCTGCTGGCCATTCTAAGTTGGGCAGTCGAGTCCCACGGAGCAGCTTTCGCATGGTTGTGTGCAGGGTCCTGTTCATCCTTTCTGCCACACCCTGCTGCTGGTGGGCGTAAGGAAGAGAGATGAGGCGTTTGATGCCTCTTTCTGCCAAGAACTGCGTGAAGTTGTTGGACTGGTACTCCTTTGCGCCATCTGACTGAAAACTCTTCAGTTTCGCTCCCGACTCTCTTTCAACTACAGGTAGCCAGGCTGTGAAGGCTTCTAGAGCCATGTCGCGTGACGGTAAGTTTACGTGCCAGACGTATCGCGTTGCGGCGTCGATGAAGGTGATGACGTAGTTTAGATCTGCACGACCTTCAGTTCGAGGTATGTAGAGGATGTCGCTGTAGACTTTCTCGAGTGGTTGATAAACTGGGGCGCTCGGGTTGTGATGTGTCGGAAACGGTTGGTGAGGCAGATCTGCTTCCGGGCAGATGAAGCAAGTACCGCGTGGTCGTTCGAGTTCTCGTCCGTTGGGAAGCAGTAGGGCGTTTTTGTCTAACACTCCTGCTCGTATTGTGTTGTAAAGCGTTTTGTTTCCAGGATGTCCAAGGCGTTGATGCCAGATGTCTTCAGAGGCGCTGTGGCCGACGGAGCGTTGATAGAAGTCGGAGTTGGCGAAGAAGGCGGCGTGTGTTGCTGCACTTCGATGAACGGCGCGTGTTGCTGGTGTTAATTGTTGGGCGGCTGTCGGTGGCGTATCGATGATGGGAGGTGGTGGCGCGACGGAAGGACCGGGCTGTGAAGTTTCGGGAGGTTGTTCCGCGACGACGGTTGGTTCTTCTACTGCAGGTTCGGTGGTTGTTGGTGTTGAGACGGGTGTTGTTGTCGTTGCGATGACGGGTGCTAACTCGGGTGTTGTTGCTTGTGTTTGCAGGACGGCAAGCGCGTTGGTGCGTTCAGCTTCGGGAATGGTACGAGAGTACCAGAAGCCTTCAGGGTTGAAGCTTGGGTCGAGATCTGGCGGATGCGTCCAGGGTGCGAGAGCAACTATACCGTCGCTGTCGGCGGTACCTTTGTCGGGCACGAAGTCGAGGACGAACACATCGTCTTGTTGGATTGCTCGGCCGATGAAGACCCCTCCTTTTCCGTGGTAGAGGCGATTCTCCAGGGCGTCGGAGTCGCACTCCAGGTGAATACCTTTCGCCATGAGTTGGCTGACGCTCAGTAAGTTAAAGCCGAGGTTGTCGACGACGAGGACCTTGTTGAGTTGAAGAATCACGTTTGTTTCGTTTGACTGAAGCTCCACAATGCCTTGTTTGTTGGTGCGCAGGTTTTCATTGTTGGCGACGGTGATGATGATGTCTCGCGGAAGGCGTCGTTCGCGTTGAAGAAATCGTGATGAGGAGCACATGTGATGACCACAGCAGCTGTCGAGGAACCATGTGTCTGGTCCGGTGGGTGCTCTGTTCGCGATGGCGGCGTACGTTGGATTCACGTTAAGAGGCGACGGTGGTAAAAACGGTTGCTCATCAGGGCTGTAAGTCGGTGGTGAGCCGGTAATGCACGAGTCGATGTTTGACTCTCTTGTTCGTGTCATGGCGACGATCCTTGATGTCTGTGCAGGTCCCGAAGTTGAAGTTGACGGTCGTGTTGAAGTAGTCGTTGAAGCGGTAGCGGGTCGTTGTTGAGTTGACGCGATGTGGGGAGGCGCGGGTCGCAGAGGACGGGAGAATGGTGCTGGTTGCCGTTGTTGCTGAGGGCAGTTGAAGCGTGTGTGTCCTGAAGTTCGACACAGATGACAATAAGGAGGTACGTGTCCTCGATTTTGGTAACGTGGTTGTCTTCGATTGGTGTAAAGAACAACTGGTTGATGATGCCTTTTGTTGTTGCGTTCTTCGAACAGGTCCATTTCTTGCTGCTCGGCGTGAAGTTCGGCGCACAGATGCATTTCGGAGAGTCGACCGTGAGCGCAAAGGAGTGAACGGGTGGTACGCCACTGGGGTCCAAGGCCGGCAAGGACGACGGTTACGAAGGCTTCTTCAGATAAGTTTCCTCCGCAGCGAATAAGTCTGTCGCGTAGTCCTTGACAGCGACTGATGTAAGGCATGGCCTTTTCGCCAGGTTGCATTTGAACTGTTGTCAATTGAGCCATGAGTCGGCTTTGTGTAACGCTGTCGGATGCTTGATGAATGCTTCGCAGATGTTGATAAGCGAGTTCCGCGGAGTTCGCGTAGTTCCGGTAGGCGCGGATGCTTTGTTGTTCGTTCGGTGACAGGTTTCGAAGAAGAACTGTGTAGGCCATCAGAGAGTGATACGTATAATTCTCTTTGTCCTTGTCTTCGCCGTGGTGTGGGTATGGCCAGGTACCGTTGAAGAGTCCGAGTAGATTTGCGCCTTCCATCAGGAGTTCAAACTCGAAGCTCCAGGAGTAGAAGTCCTTCCCGTTGAATGGTGTGGATGTGTGCAGTCGCAGGATGTTGTTGAACTGTGCTTGTACTTGCAGGACCTCTTCGGTGTCTCGTTTGATGGCGGGAAGAGGGGTCGCTGGATGGCGGGGCGGCATGAACGTGAAGGAACCAGGTAAGATTGAATTTGGTGTTTGTTGATTGTGTCGTCCGAACGATGAGTTGTTAATACTCATTGGTGTCGCTCCGTTGTTTACGCTGTTGCTGTTTGCAGGTTGTGAGGACTGGTGCTGCTGCGACATGAAGTTGAAGAACTCCTCCATTAAGCTTGGGTTGAAGGTTGTTGGCGGCGCTACTGGCGCTTGAACAGAACGTTCCGTCGCTTCCGGCGTTAATCCGGGCGTTGTTCCTCCTTCGGTCTGCAGCTCGGAGACCGGGGGTAGAGTAGATCCCGTATATGATCTTCTTTCCTTGCCGCTTGCCATGTCTTGCTTTTCTTGAATGAAGATTAAAATTTCTTGGTTGCTTGCAGATTGGTAGTCTGGAAGAGACTTAGTGACGAGAGCCTTTGTTCTCTGACCGCTCTCATACCATGTTGGGCTGATAATTTCAGCCTAAGGATCTTTGCAGAGAATAGGCTAATAGGTGCTAGAGTAGCACAGCGGAAGTCTTTTAGGTGAATGTACTTGTGCTAGTATGTGAGAACAAGTAATTGATTAAAGTAAAGAGCATACAAGAATATATAGGAAAGGATAGATTACAGGAAGCGGTTGTGTTTGTCGAGACGCGTAACGCTTCGACTATCGAGGCAGTTACTGTTCACTGAAGCGTCGCCTGCTGTTGCGTAACCTCCAGGCGGTTACAACTTGCAACCTCCAGTTGCGGTTGAATGTGGTATGCGCCCTTTCGACTTCATACTCCTTTTGTTGTGCTTCAGTATCGGGTGAGGTTCGATACTACAGAAACGCACTAAGTCATGCGTTTGTATTCCCAACACACAGCGCTTTTGGGCAGGCCAAAATTAAACCTGCGGTAAGGTTGGTGGAAAAGGGGGAAGGGAGGTGGAGAGTGGGAGGAGTTGAGTGCCCCAGATCATCTCAATACTGGCTCATCTAATTCCTTGGGAATGGATGAGAGTTCTGGCCGTGAGGCTCTTCTTTGGGTTACTTGCAAGCAGTTGTCATATCTCTGATGCGATAGTGGATAATACACGTAGAGCAGGGTTCTCGCTAGGTTTTGGGGCTGTCTGACAGTACCCTGAAAAAATTTTCCCCCGTCTTATGGTCGGACGACGAAACTTCCGTGGTCTGCCTTATAAGCTGAAATAATATTTCTAGTCTGATAAATAAGACGAAAAATTTTTTCCTGTTAAAAGTCAACCTACTGTGGCTGTGGCACAACGGGACAACGCGTTGCCGTGGCTGTGGCTGGCGTCGGCGCCGACAGCCAGCCACACGACAAACTCCTGGCAGCGAGGCTGCCATAATGAATGCGCGCATTCATTACGCGCATTCATTACATGACACGCGTAATGAATGCGCGTGCGCATTCAGGGCAACAAATGGCTGTACCTGTGGTCCTATCCTCTGGTCCACTGGGCATATGGCCTAGTGGGTCAAGATGTCGATTTCAGACGAAACCGAACTCGATATCTGTGTTCTCATATGAAGAATTCTACACGTCTGGAAAAATCATACGAACCTAAAAGTCAAATCTTACTGATCAGATGAGAACAAACACAAAATCTTAGGATTAAGATGAATACTAAAAATCAAGTCTTAAACTCAGACCATCAGACCAAATTGGTCTGATAACGAGAACCCTGACGTAGAGCTACTGTAACTGCACGCGCGCTACCCATTTCCAAGCTCAATTGAATGTTAGCCAATGTAATCCAAGCACTGTATGTAGATGGAATGGTGATGTTACGCTGCTTACAAGGGTGCTTCAACAGGTTTATTGAAGTGTAGACATGTGCAATTCCGTGCAACAAAGAGAATGCTGACTGCAGTCATCTGAACATAGGCGACTGGCTGCATTCCGCGCGTTCTCATGCTTGCTGGTACAGCTGTCATACGGTATGGATCTTACTTATTTCTACTTAACGGGTCCTGACGAGGATGAAAATAAATTATTCCCCATACCACGTGGTCCCTCCACTATCCCAGCATTCTAGTAACAAGCAACTGCATGTATCAGATTTAGTGCACAGCGGCACACACCTGTCCGGGCCACCAGACCAGCGGTCCATTCATCAAGCACTAGAACACCACAGCAGCACCCTCCATGCGTTTAGTGGTCACCGGAATACACGCAGGTCCATTCCTGCTTGCCTTGACCGCACCACCACCAGCACCACCAGCACCGGCATTCCTCTCCCTCACCTGCACACGCCGCACCACCTCCCCATGAATATCAAAATACACGCGCTGAGCCAGCATCACCTTCTGCAGAAACCGCCGCTTCTCCTCCTCCTCCCGCTCCGCCCCACCCCGCCGGCTTCCCCGTCCACTCACCAGCTCCTCCCACTCCTCATCCTCCCCACCCCCATCATCATCAAACATCTTAGTCCAATCAGGTAACAACCCTTCATCTTCAAGCTCATCCACCATCTCCTGGATCTCCTCCTCTAGAACATTGAAAGTCACCGCCATTTCCTCTTTCATGCGCCCAAACTGCTCCTGCATGTCTTCCCGCAGGCCCTTGGTGCGTTCTCCTAGTCCGTCCAGCCACGAGTGCAACTCGCGCTGCATGCTGCTCTGCACCTGAGCCATGTAATCCAGGGTATCTGTGGGTAGCAGCCACCCAAGCCCTGCTCCTCCTCCTCCTCCGCCAGCAGAAGTAGAAGAAGGGGAATAAGGAGAAGACGCAGGGAGAAGTGGGGCGTCTACCCCTCTCAACCGGTTTCCACCTCTGTACGCCATTGCCGCGAGATCCTCCTCCTGATCTTCGCCAATTCCCACAGTCCCGCTGGAGCTGTCGCCGTTGTTGTTGTTGTTGCTGCTGCTGCTGCTGCTGCTGCTGCTGCTGCTGCTGCTGCTGCTGCTGCGGCACAGATCCGTGCTGTCGCTGTTACTTCTCCAGGCCTCTCTGTGCCACTGGCCGTCCCACCGCTGCTCCGAGTAATGAGAGCTGCTCCGGCTGTCTAGGCGCGTGGGCGTCTGGATGAGAGTATCCAGCAGTAAGAGGCTGCTTGCAGGGCTCAGCCGGCCGTTGCTGGGCCACGGGGGAGGACTGTTAGCCATGGGGCTGTAGGGAAGTGGGCTGCAAGGCAGGGAACTGCATGGCATGAGCGCCGGAAATGCTCCTTCTGGGAAATCAGGAGAGCGCCCCAGCGGTTGCTCCAAGTCAGGCACGGGTGATTCACTGAAGAGAGCGCGAAAGAAGGGGCTGCTGGCTGCTGTTGCAGTGGTAACAGGAGAAGTAGGGGAAGCAGAAGCAACAGGTGAGGCAGACGAAGCAGGGGAAGCAGACGGAGGAGTAAGCTCAATGAGCGAGGGAGGAGGAGGGAGGTGGGAGAGCGGCCAGTGGCAGCCTTGGGGGAGCGTGGAGAGCGGCAGAGGCTCGTCGCAGAGGGAAGAGTCGCCATCTTCGTCGTGGTCGCAATGGCCTTCGCGGACGCTGTCGCGGACACCATCGTGGGAGCCTTCGTGGTCGTTTGTTGGGCGAGAGGTCGATTCCTCCCCGTCGTACTGTCCATCCTGACAGCACGCACACACAGCAACTGGCACGGCGAGATCACCGCATGCTGCGCTGCTCCCCCCGGGAGGCTCCCGTGTGCGCGAGCTATCAGCACCAGCGCCCGGTCCTGCTCCGCCAGCCTCTAGCCTGACTTCACCAAGAGCCTCCACCCCGCGCGCATTCCCCTCGTCCCGCCCCTGCGCGTCACTCACGCGGTCACCCGCCCTCCCCATGCCGCCACCCTCGTGGTCGCACTCGCCGTCGCTATGCCTCTCCGCCTCTCTGGCACGAGTCCCGATTCCTTCACTCTTCCAGGTTCCGCCGCTAGTCTCGATTCTCGCATCACTGCGCACATCGTCCCACATGCTCGCGAGAACGCTTTCGAACGCCGAGTCATACGCGTCCCACGCCGCCGCCTCCGCCGTCTGTGGCGCCTCAACAATCGCGCGTTGCTCCGTCAAACCGCCGCCGCCGCCGCCGCCGTCAACGCTACTGTTGCTGCCACTTCGCGTTGCGCGGCTTCTCGCGGTGATTGCGCGGATGTAGGAGGTGGGCGGGGCGGAAGCGGGCTTGGCGGGGAGTGGTTTGCGGGGAGCGGGATGGGCGCGGTGAGTGCCGTCTTCCGCGTACACACGGCGAGTGGGGAGACTTGCGCAAGGGGCGGAAGGGGAAAGATTGAAGGAAGGAGCGGCGGTGGAAGTGATGTGGGAGAAAGAAGTATCGAAGGGAGATGGAAGGAATCATCAACTGGAATTTGAAAATTGTAAAGAAGGGAGCGGCGGAAGGAGGTGAGAGCGGGAGATTCAACAGAGTTGCTAGGACCAGGGAGGTCGTGGGCAAGGAGAGCACGTGCTTACAGTGATGGGAGACCCGGAGCGATGCGACGACGAGCAAGCGAACGAGGGGCAATGCCGTAGAGACGATTGCACGAAGCGTTACGCGCGTGGGGACTCACGTCAAGAGCGACGAGGCGAGGGATTGGGAGTCGGAACACGTGGCAGGCGTAGAGACGAGGGCGGCGCGAACGCGACGGTGAGTGGGCTGGTGCAGGCACGGAGGGCGGCAGAGACGGATACGCGGAGGTTCGAGCAAGGGGTTGCGGAATGGGAGCAAGAAAGCGGGATGAAATTGGATGGAGGTAAGCCAGAGTGGCATTTGCGAGGCAGTCAATTACATCGCAAGGTGCCGACTGACAAAGAAAGCAACGATATTTCAATGGTAGGACAAAGTGAGTGTGATTCGTTGGGTGTGATACCCACAGCCGCCATTGGAGTAGAGTTTCCGAGATAAGGCCGGCATGTGCTGCCGTTATCGCGATGAAAGCGGTCGTCCATGAACCAGAAGACACGTGGCTCTCCGTAAGTAAATATATTCCAAGATTAGCAGCCAGATTACCGATCGACTCAATTAGAAGCCATTGCTTCTGGATGAGAGGAAAACAACATAATGCGCTTCGTCAGCAGCGGACAGGGAGGGTACAGGTTCAAAGCAGGCATTCGATGCTGAAGTTGGGTGAAGGCTGTGTTTTCCTTCGCATGGTTGGTGGGGTAGGAGATCGCAGAAGCAGCGAGCAAGAATTGAGAGAGAGCGAATGAGTGGAAGTGGTCGGTGCGTTGCGGAGCGGAAGTGGGGCAAAGATGGGGAAACATTTCCCCTGGGTTTCCCACATGGAATCACCGTGCAGCGCAGTCCTGTGAGCCAAAGCTGAGCAGCCTAGGCCGTGGATGCGCCCAACTGCCAGCAGTCAGTTTTGTGTAGATGCGATGCGGCGGCCAGCCAATTATAACAAAGCTTTCCTGCTCCCGAATCGTGGTAAGGGTGGCTCTGTTTGGCTTGTGCTGAATACAGTTGAGAGCCCAGGGGATTGGTGTAACGAGGATTTGAACTGTTTCAGGTGCCTCGCTTAGGGCTTGTCCTACGAGTTCAATTACATTTCATGTCAACCAATGTAACCCTGTTTATGCATTGTAGCTCTTTATACTGGACGACTGTAGTCATCCGTCTTCAATGACGCGCGACATTGACGCGTTGAATGCGTCAAAAGGTTCGTATTAAAAGCGTTAAAAACAGCTTTCAAGGTCCGCGTAACCCTAATTCCCAATCTCAGAATCCGCCCAGAAAAGGCGACGGCCAATTTTGGCACTGTCATTTCGCAACTGGCCCGGGTTACCGCTCGCGAACCATGTTGAATCTGATTCGGGATAGGAGTTTTGTGTGAGTGGAGTGCTGAGTCCGCATGGTGCAACTTCGTTTGGCGCAGTGCTGACGGGCTGCGGTTTTTTTCTGTCTATGTGTTCACTTCTCTGCATTGTTGAAGTTACTACCCGTAACGATTACGATTCGTTCTGTTACGGGTGCAATGAATCGAGGTAGCGAGAATTGCACTAAGGTGTCAAACGAGTACAAAATGTGAGCGAAGGCATGAGCGAACATTTATACGCGAAACATGCAAAACGGTAACGCGGTGCGTGCGAGCTTGCTAGTGCTACGCTGGAGCGAGGCTCGGGCTAGTCCCGAAGCGTAGGCCGATACGGCCATGCCAGCAGTGCGAGGTTTGGCAAAACAGTGCGCGCGAAGTCGGCGAAGTTCCGTTAGCAGGAACGGGCGAACAATCGGCTGTTGCTGTACGCGATGTGGTCGGCTCTGTAAGGAATGCCGAGAAAATTCCTTACACTACCCCCCCCCCTTAAGAAGCCCCCTCCGCTACGCGAGTGCGTGTATATCGCGGAATCCCCGGCTCCTCATGTACACTTGCAGGGCAGGGTGATTTTCGATGTTGCTCAGGGGCACCCAGCTATCTTCAGTTGGCGTGCGGTCTTTCCAGCGAACGAGGAATTCAATCCTCTTGATTCCCGTGGGGTGGCGGATCCGATGGCTCAGAATTTTTTCGGGTTCGATAATCGGTTCTGATGCAGGGCGAGTCATTGATTGTGGCCGGTGACGCGGCAGTTGACTTGTAGTCGGGATGTATGGGCGAAGTAGGCTGACGTGGAACGAAGGGCTGATGTACCAGTCGGTTGGCAACAGTAGGTGCGCGGTGACGGGTGTGATCATGTGACTGATTTGGAATGGTCCACAGTAGCGCGGTCGTAATTTTGGTACGTCGGGCAGTCGCAGATTTTGCGTGTCAAGCAGCACGTAATCTCCAGTTTGGTACGTGACAGGACGGCGGTGGCGATCAGCGTTGCGCTTAGCGATGACGTTGGCCTTTTTTATTGCTTCGGCGGCTCTGACGCGGGCAGCTTGCAGAACTTCGGCGAATTGTTGTGCACGTGGCGTTGGGTTGTCCGGACTCGGCGTCATGGGCACTGTGGGGTTTTGCCCATAGTTCAGGTAGAACGGGGACTGCTGCGTCGTGGCTGATGTGGCGTTGTTGTACGCGAACTTGATCAGCGGCAGCTGTTGCTCCCAGGTCATGGGGTCGTCGCACGTGGCACGAATTAACTGCTCCATCGTCTGATTCGTCCGCTCCGTTTGGCCGTCGGTCTCGGGGTGGTACGACGAACTGAACTGTAGCCTGGTCCCGAACTGCTCCCAGAGGTTCTTCCAGAAGTTGCTGGTAAACTTCGTGTCCCTGTCGCTGATAATTGCTGCTGGTATCCCGTGCAGGCAAACAACGGCTGCGATGAACAGGCGAGCGGTCTCCTCGGCTGAGATCGACTTTTTGCACGCAGCGAAGTGTGCCATCTTCGTCAGCCTATCCACGACGACCATCACCGCGTCGTTACCCCCAGGGTTCGAAGGTAACCCTGTGACGAAGTCCATGGTTACTTGCTGCCAGGCGCGTTCGGGCGGTGGGATCGGCTGCAATTGACCCGCCTTCCGCTTCCTTGAACTCTTCATCACCTGACACGTAGGACACGAGCCCACGTGCTGCTGTACGTCGGTCAACAGCTCCGGCCAGTAATAGTACCGCTGCAGTTGCTGTCGTGTTTTTTCTACCCCGAAATGTCCCGAGGTAATCCCGTCGTGTGCCTCCTGCAGTAGCAGCTCCCTCAGTAGTGAGTACGCGGGTACCCAAATGCGGTTGGTGCCTGTTTTTACGTAATAGACTCCTTTTGCTTCTGCCAGTTGCTGTGAATTTCCGGTCGTGAAAAATGGGTCGGTGCGGTATCCGTGGGTGAATAGGCCAGTTAAAAGTGGGTCGGTCTGGGCGAGTAGGATGGCGTGGAGTTGGGCGGTGGGGCGGGTGAGAGCGTCGGCGATGTTGGATGCGCCTTTCTTGTACGTAACGGTGTAGTGAAAGTTGGACTCGAGATAGTCCAACCAGCGAATCTGTCGTGGGTTGAGATTCGGTTGGGCGCGAAGGTACTGTAGCGAGCGGTGGTCTGTCCGTACTGTCACGTCGGCGCCCGTCAGGTAACATCGCCAAACTTTGAACGCGTGCACGATCGCTAGCATCTCGCGGTCGTGTATCGGGTAGTTACGTTCGGGCGGGTGTAGTTTGCGGGACTCGTACGCGATTGGCTGGAGGCCGTTCCCGAAGTCCTGCAACAGTACTGCTCCCACAGCGATGTCACTTGCGTCGGTGACGAGCTCGAACGGACGGTGGGGATCTGCAATGTGAAGGACGGGCGGGGAGCACAAAATATTTTTGAGGGCCGAGAAGGCAGCTTGCTCTTTCTCCCCCCACGTGTACTCAACCCCCTTCCTCAGCAGGTCGGTCAACGGGGCAGTCAGCTTCGCCATGTCGGGGACGAACCGGCGCACGTAGTTGACGAACCCCACGAAACTCTGCAACTCGGTCAAGTTGGTCGGCGCGTGCCAAGCCTGAATCGTCGCAATTTTCTTCGGGTCTATTTCCACTCCTGCAGCTGAAATAACATGTCCCAAAAACTCCAGGCGGTCCTGTAAAAACTCACACTTAGATGCTTTGGTCAGTAGGCGGTTCTCACTCAGGATTTTAAAAACTGCTTCGATGTCTTGTAAGTGCTGTGCTCTGTCAGGGCTGTAAATCAGTATGTCGTCCAGATAAACGATGACGCACTTATCTAAAAGTGGGCGGAATGCTTCGTTGATGGTCATTTGGAAAGTGGCGGGGGCGTTGGTCAGTCCGAATGGCATGACGGTGTATTCGAAGGATCCGTAGCGTGTTCGGAATGCGGTTTTAGGGCAGTCGGGTGGGTTGACGCGGATTTGGTGGTAGCCTCCTCGGAGGTCGATTTTCGAGAAAACCCGGGCTGTGCGCAGTTGGTCGATCAGTTCGTCGGCTCGTGGGATGGGGTAACGGGATTTGATGGTAACCCTGTTCAGTGCCCTGTAGTCGATGCACATGCGAAAACCCCCGTCTTTTTTCGGTGTGAACAATATTGGTGCGGCGAAGGGCGACGAGCTAGGGCGAATGAATTCTTTCTCGAGCAGGTAATCGAGCTGCTTCCTTAGTTCGTCTAGTTTGGGTTGGGTCAGTCTGAACTGTCGCTGTACTGTTGGCTGTGCCCCCGGTTCCAGTTCTATCCTGTGATCGTGCGGTCGCTGAGGTGGCAGTCCCGTCGGTAAGTCATCCGGGAAAATGTCACTGTATCGTGTTAACAGTGCTGCCAGATCACTCGGTACGTCGGTCAGCAGTTTCTGTAAATCCCCTCCCTTGTCTGCTGCCTCGGCTTCCCGAATGTCAACCGCGTACACGTCAGCTCCGGCCGCAACAGCGCGTTTCATCGTGATCGCATTGACACGCACCGACGAAGACTCAGGCGAGCCCCAGCGAGGTAAGGCGATGTTGTTACCGTTTACTCGCACGGTGCAGTCGCCCGTCGTCCAGTCAATTCGCGGATTGTGTCGTCGCAGCCAATCACGCCCGAGTAAAATGTCGGTTCCGTCGAGGGTCGTTGCGAGCATTTCCTGACTAAACGTGAAGTTACCCCCGCATCGAATCCGAACTCGGTCTACGCGTTCCCGTATTGCCAGCGGCGTGCCGTCTACCAGTCGTGCGTCGATCTCAGGTAAGCATCTGTCCAGTGGCAGTTGCAGTTTCCGTGCTGTAGCAGTGTTAATGAGGCTGTGGCTGGCTCCCGCGTCTACGAAGATTTTAACTAAGTCCGTCCCAATTTTCCCACTGAGCAGTATAGGGCTGTCTACCGTGGTACCCTCCTTTTTCGGCCGGGTGTGGTCGATTGCGTGAACCGGCACAATCACTCGGTGAGGGTCGGTTGGGTCGGGCGAGCGGCGTGACCTGTCAGTAGAGGGCCCGTCTGCTACTGACTTCCAGCGTTTCCCTGCTGCTTGGTCTGTGTCTGCTGCTCAGCTTCCCCCTTTCCCTTAGCGTTTTCCG